CTTCCAGTACAGTATTAACAATGCCTCGAGGGTATGAAATTGCTGCATCTGTAGCATGTCTAAAATAAACCAGAAAGGCAGTGGAATCTATATGATGTGGAGCCATGTCTGCACAAAATCTTGGAATTTTTGCAGTTGCTGTTGTTTGCCAGCTATCACTTTTTTTTCTCGACATTCAGCCTTGTCTTGTAGCTGAGCTTTGCATTTTACAAACTGAAAGCTAAATATTTTGAAAACTGTCTATTCAACTATGGTTAGTATCAATATGTGTATAAGCACATAGCAGCAATATGTGTGCTCTTATGTCTGAAGGCTGAATAATATTTTCTAAGAAATAGGACTGCAGTAATTGCAGCATACAGTAAGTGTTTTTTTCTTTTACCGTATTTTAGGAATAGAGTTTAAATTTTAAATACAGACATCATGCTTTTAAAGAGAAATTTATCCACTGTATTCAGCTTGAGCAGTTTATCATAGGTTTTTCAGCACTTTGCACCAAAACTAATTTATGTTGTTTACGACATGATAAGAACACTATGGAGTTCCATGTGAGGCGCTGACTCACATGGAGTTTCTTCCTCAATTGCAATTTTTAATCTTATAAATATGAAAACACTTCTAAACAGATGTGGTGCATGTAAAATTGGGAAAATGGCAATATCCAGATTCTTTTCACTGTCTACTTTTTAATATTTCATGTCCTAAGCATATTGTATTAGTCAGTACGATCCTGGTCTGGTCTTAATCATTTTGAATGGAACTATCTTGAAAGAGGAAAAACAAATCTACAACTTTTTTATTTAAATCTTCATCCACTTACCTTACTTTCTTTGATGGGCAAAAAGCTTCTTTGTTCAAAAAATATGCACAATGTTTGCAGAGGAATAATAAATATGTGACAGGCAAGAAAAAAGTTATTTCATATGCCATTAACTAAATTGCCACCTTGCATATCTCTGATGTAGTTCAAGCTCTATTTGGAGATCTTAATAGGTCAGACTTCTTCACATATGCTATAACACCATCAGTTTTGATGAGCAGGCATTCAGTCCACTCTGCTTTGCAGTGACATGTGCGCCAGTGCATGTGCCGCATCAAGGTTCTGTCCTTTCAACCCACTCGCCTTGCTTTCCCTATAAACTGAGTCAGCAGCAGTCACTGTCAGGTCTGCTTAATTTCGTCATGCTTGACTTCCTGCAACCTGAAGTCTCATCTGCCAAAGCCCCTTAATCCACTTGTCAGTCAAAACAACAAAAAGCTGGAAAGGTGCTCCCTAATTGAAGACAGGATTGTTAAGCTTTGGTGAGGTGAGCATTGCTTGTACTTGCAATTGTTGTGCAGGTGTGCAAGCACAGATATGTGGCAACAGATTTGTTCTTAATCATTCCCAGGGAATTATTGCTCCAAGTTTCCATTTGTCTTGTCTGCATTTTTAGCTGTATCTCCTGTCATTTTAGTTTTGAATTTTTTTCCATATACTGATAATGAATGATGCTTGATAATTAAACACAGATATACTGACAGAGTTGTTTATCTGAGGTTGAGATGTCAAAAATATGTATTGAATGTGAAAGCCTTGTGTTAAGGGGAAAAATATTTTTCTTTGTTTCCAACATGTTTCCTTACAGCCTATTTTCTAAAAGAG